TTTTCTCTTAAACCTTGGATATTCTAGAAACTTATCTTCATTTTATTACTTTCATAATCCGACCAATCTATATCGATCGCCTTAAAGTTGTTATTTATAACAGACGAATTATCTTCATTCTTCTTCTTATTATTTAACGTCAGCTTTTTCCTTCCATAATTGTCGTGCTTTATATTAGTTTTATCTATTAATTTATCTAAGTTCGTTTTGTCGCTAATCCTAAAAAATGATTAATTAATATGATTTCTCTTGTATTTATAGCGTATGTATACATTAAATTATCTTTAATATAGTAGTTGTCTATTACTAGATATCTATTGCTGTCTGAATATTCTGACTTAATCTTTTTGAGTAACTGCTTTCTTCTAATTCTGGACTGATAACATAAATCCGTTTCCATTATAATTTTTACGATTTGATTATTTGGATTACTTTTTAACTGAACTAAACCCTTAATTTCAATATTATTTAAACCCAAATCTTCATTTATAAATTTTTTGAGTTATTCTACTCCCTCAGAAGTTTTAAAAGGAAAATTCATAATACCTAGATTTTTTCTTATATTTCCGTTTAGTATTTTATCGAGTTCAAATTCGAACATACCTTTTAAATTGGCGTAGGAATTAATCCTTTCTTCTAATGTGTGAATTTTATGACCAATGTTCTTCATTTCATCTTTAATCTTGGCATTGTCTTCCTTCATACAGCTGATTTCAGATTTAATTGTTTGAATCTCCTGGGTCAAAAGGTCAAACTTCTCCAGAATCAATTCGTAAATTGATTTTAATGAGTATCTAGGTTCATTATCACTTAGATATCAGGTTTTCTGTTGGGTCAAAAAAATCCTAAATGATAGTGTTTTTCGTAGTTTCGTAGTTTCCGTAGTTTCTCACATTTCTTCTTTGGATAGATAATCTTTTCCTAATAATTCTACTAACTGATTATTTTCTTCCGTGACTTGTGAATAATCCTTTCGATGTCTACCTCGCCCCCTTCTTTGCATAGTTACTTGACTTGCTTGAGGGGAAAACGTTAAAGAGGACCGAGATTTTTCTCTATTCCGGCCATAATTAGCAGAATTGTTATTAAATTCAAAGTTAGTGGACCCATTTGAGTTCTTATAATATCTTGATAATTGACATTATTTTTTTACAATTTCCATACTAACTTTCTTCAGAACAGCTCTACTAAAAAGTCACCAACACCTTCGCTGTCAGGTATGCCCCCCAACCTAGTAAATAAAGGAATTAGCCAGATTATTAAGAAGAAAGAAAACATTAAGAAGACAACAATTTTTTTAATTTTTAAACAGTTTAGTTGTAAGTAGAATCATAAACATTTTGTAGAAAAAAACGCTTAAAAGTTAAAATTATTTAAAAATATAATTGTACAGTACATACTTTTGCGAAACTAGTAATTTGGCCGAAATGCACATTATTCAATAATATACAGTACTTCTTTTTACAAAACATGTTTCTAAAGGCAATAATTATACTGAGTTGTCAATAGTAAGTGGTTAAAGCAGGCATGGCAAAATACGGCCCGCGGGCCAGATCCTGCCCGTCTAATAAATTTATGCGGCCCGAGATTAATCTTTCAATATTAGCTACTCAAGTCCGAATAGCTCGATGAAAGATTCTGACGCCGAAAATAAAGAAAAAAGAAAGAAAAAGGTCAACAATTCACTGTGCGTTTACAGTTAACCCTCCATTACAAATCTGGTAAGTACAGCGTAGAATGTTCATAAAGCATGATAATGTGAAAAATGTATCTGTAACCTCTATGTACAATTTATTTTCCGGTAAAAAATGTTTTCTTTCCAATTCGGCCCGGGGCAAAAACTGTTGGCCATCCCTGGGTTAAAGCATAAATTGAGCTTATTCCGTAATCTCAACCACATTACTAGAGTATTTCTATTATTACAAAAAAAAAGTCCACTTCTCATTTTTTCACAATAATAATTGTTATTGGTAACTATCAATTATTAATACTACTTATTTCTAGTTTTATTCTAACAAACAATATAAAATTCAATTCGTATAATATTGTGAGAGCTGGAATTTTATTAATCAAAAAATTTAATTATTCTACATCTGTTATATAGCGGATTGGCTAGAAAACAATCTTAGTTGAGAACATTTGAATCCTCCTTTCATAAGTATCAATATTCTATTCTTCCCACACCACCTGCAGCTCGACTTGCACGAAAGTTTATAGTTAGCATCCAAATTTCGTCACTTGTTTTAGGTCCCGGGCACACCTATAACCTTTATCTCCTATAACAACCGATCACATGACCGATTTTCCCAGCAAAAAGCTATAAAGGATGCTTCCTTTCCCCTCTCGAGGGAGTCTCTTAACGAAAGCCGGACCGACGTTATCGAATACCGTCTGTCACCACAGTCGCGAACTTTTATACTTGTGCCAATTTGGAATATCTAAACCCACTTATTGAATATCTGTGTGCCATTATGAACTTGAATCGCCGTGGAAACCTACAAAGAGGTATGCAAATTCATGTAAACTCTCTCTTGAGCCCTTAAGCGTTTTAACGTCGAATTTAGTGTTTGTAATTTTTGTCGATCTTGTCTATTTTGAATAAACTAGTTTCATTTGTCAAATGGTATACTCCTTTACTGGTATATTGCCTACGCCTTATCGTCGACCCCGGTTACTCTCCCTCCACTCGACCGACATAGAGCAGAAGTCCCGACCCTTGGGAAAAGAAATCGTAGCATAGCCATCTTGACAAGAGGTGCGACTGTCTCCGACCTCCTGGCGGTTCACAATATGTAAAACAGAACGACTATATAACGCCAGACTTATAAAAACAAAAAAATGTGTTAAATTTATAAACCAACAGATAACGTTTTTCATTAATTAATAAACTAGAAATTATCTCATCAATCATGGCAAGATATCTTTTTGAAACATTTAAGATTGAAGGATTTAGAAGAGCTTCAAGCGAACTTCACGTTGTAATGCTGTTTCTGCATCCCTTGATAAAGTAATTCTTATTCAATGTTTCTCAAGTGGGAATTTACGGCCTTCACGAATGTAAATTGAGTTTTTTTTAGTTTACGTTGAAAAAACAAAGGAAAATTATACGTTATCTAGATCAGCAATATAATTTTCTGAATAACGAGCTCGTTAGATCGTTACTTCCAATTCGATCATAACACGTAACGTGGTCGTGATAAAAAGAATTTTCTAAAAACGTTTGCTATATAAATGAAAATATTTAAAAATACAACTTGAGCAAAATTCGCGAACGTCACCTCGTTCATGACGTCACTTCAACGTAAAAACGATCACCTATCCGAAATCGATACTACGTCTATGCTATACCTAATATTTCCGCAAAATCAGTAGCTTCTACTTTCCTTGATTAAAAAAAAAAACTAATATAACTATAATTTCATCTGGATTGGACAAAAATTACAAGATTTTTAAAAAATTAGACAATGAAATTATAGGGAGAAGTTGAACCTGAAAAATTAACCATTTCCTTGTGACAGCACTGGAAAGTGTTTGAGAATAAAATAATTATACGGACATAAGTTAATATATCACTAATAAAGCATGTATGTTATTAAAAATCCTTAAGTCTTTAATATAACTAATTGCATCAATTTAGAAAGCAAACAAATCGATTGAATTTTATGAACCTATTAAAATTACACGCCATTGTATTTATCGTCTTTATCGATTACGGTATTTAACTTTTAATGGTATAATAATTTATAAAATTTCCGATTTCCATTAAAGGTATTGTTAATTTTCATAATTATGCTTATATAAAAGAGAAACAGCTATACTTTATCCTTGAAGCTGCATAGCAACTTCAACTGACTGTACACTGCAGACAATTATTCTCTGCCGTAATTCTCCGTTTTAAATACAATGCACACTGTTCTTACATCAAAGATAATTACAATTATCCAAGAAGACATGGTACAAACTTCATCGAGCATTAGCTCTAATATTGTAAGTTTTAAACATGAAATATGTCTAAAATGTATTCTGTCATCATTTACGTCAACGTCAATGATATATGGATTGAATTTCTTCAATCCCTGTTCATGTATCATACGAAAAAACAGTTATTTGCACAAACTTCTATACAGATTTTATTTAGCTTTTATCGAATGTATCTACTGGATGCATTTCTTTCTCACTTTTTGTATGATAATTCCTTTTCTGTCAAATAAAACACCCTGTATATCCTGGTATTCGATTGTGGACAACGACATCTTTGTCAAAGTAACCATCTCTCTTCTTGCCTTAGTGTTTGCGGTAATATTCAGCATCCTTAAAAGAGTGAAATTAAATACAAAAATTAAAGTAAGGAATTCGAGTTACTTTTTCCAAAATCAGTTATTCTCTATCATAAATTACATTCGAATTACCACTGTGACTTTGACAATATTTATTACATTATGGCTTCAGTGTTTGAATGTATTTTTCTTTCATCACGATATAAAAAAGAAAGAATTATTCAAGCTGGAAGCATTTGTTTGTACCATTGAAAATGGAATGTGGATGATTGTGATGATTGGAGGTTTGGTACACGTTGCTTTCTTCCTTTTCTCTATTGGTGTTATTTTAATGAATGCATTCCAGAAAGTATCAAAAGATTTATACCTATTGAGAAAAGATAATCCAAACTTAGAATTTGAATTAGAAGACATAATGGCACAACACCATGAAATTTGGACTTATACAAACCAATTCAACGACCCATTCAATTATGTAGTCACGACTTTGTATGCTACTTTATTATCAGAAACGTGTCTACTTTATTTTATTGCTATCTTCTCGAAAGTGGAATTTGTATTGAAAGTCTTTATTTTTGCGATTTGTGCTTTAATAACTTTTGGCTGCATTTTAGTTGGATTCTTCATGTCTGTTTTAACGTCAAACGTAAGAAATTTTATTAAAATGAAAATAATTTCATTTATAAATTTGATCAGACGTTTTGCTTTGTTTTTGTTTTTCAGATGCAAACATCCTTTCAAGATATAAGAAGATTTGCTGATTGCGATCTGAGTTTAGAACAGAAATTAAAGGTAAAGTGTTTTAAATTTGTTTTTTTAAACAAATAATTGTTAATTTTTTTGTAAAATTTAAATAAACTGATGACATTCAATTATTGTACAGATGTTGAATTTTATGAAGAGATTTGGTAAAGCATCTCTATGCTTATCCATCAATGATTACTTCAACGTTACCAAGAAATTTCCGATTAAAGTATATTTAACTATATTTTATAATATTAATCACAAAAATGTTGTATTGATATATTTAAATTTTGAAATTTTTTCAGATGGCAAGTTCTCTTCATTCTGTATTTTCTGGTCTTCTCAACCTCAGGACAGCATCAAGACCGAAAAATTGATATATTTCTTTTATAAATTTTAATTCTAAAATATTCATATTTAATGCAATAATATCTCGCTTTTAACCCTTAATACCTTAATGAACATATACCTACTAAATTATGTATATGTTAGAGTATAGTTTATTGCAAATTTTCATATTTAAGATAATAATTATCATTAAATAGTTTGTTAAATAATCTCATTTACTGGTGCGAAAACCCGTATTTATATTTATTCGTCTTATTGATTTACACTAATCATTAAACGTATATAAACATAAGCACTTTCAAATTCAACTCTATCATACATAGATCTAGTTTTGGATCTATTAGTCACTTGCATGTTACAAGTATTTGGCTACGGCTATCCAAGCTTTTATGCATTTTTATGATATAAAACAAGAAACAACAGTACAAATATTGAAATTACCACTGATGAATGTTTCTCTGGTTTAACGGATTAATCCCTTATCACCCGTTGAATGTACTTTTAAGTTGTCTGATGCAAAACATCTAACATGTATGCCTGGGCGTTATTTATAAGCATAATCTGCATAGCTATGTTATCATTCGTCATACAAATATCAATATATTTCAAAGCCTATCACTATATAATAAAATAAATTATATTAGCATTTTATTTTGTAACATGCAGTGTTGGACGCTCTAAGAATTTGTCCACCTGTGTTCATGCACTGCACACCTATAAGAACCGGCCCTGCTTATACACTATACATCTTGTTTAATTTAATCATTTTGTTCACATATTATGAACTTATTTTGATTCGATAATTACTGATGCCAAAGTTTCATAATAATTCTTTTGTCATTGTGTATAGTGATTAATAGAAATGAATAAATTAGTTTTTAAGTGAATAAGTCTTAATCATTTTTTTCTCGTGTTTCATTCGTGTCACGCAATTTCTAACAAAAACAAGGCTAATAATCAGAATAGAAATTGAATTAGAGGAGAAATATCACCTGTCTTGGTTCAATTTTACAGAAATGTTTACTGGAATAGAAAACTTCAGAAATAAAAAAAACATCCAACAATAAGCTGCTTAAGATTCCAGGCATCGTTTAAAACGCGGGTATGACGCTATCTATTAATTAATACATTTTATTTGAAAAAGCTTTTTTTATTTTTTATTATTGCAAAATGGCAAATGCTTATACAGTTGACTCCGCTAAAACGCGGGTTCACATAATGCGGATTCGAATATCGCGGCGAAAATATTGCAACTGTATTCGTATAAACACGCTAAAAGAGACTCGTAAAATGCGGTAAAACGTCATCGCCGACTCGTGTCGCGACAGGATTCGTCGAATCTGGACCAATAGTGGAAGAGCAGCCGAACTACCTACAAGCTAGAGAGAGTTTAAACAGGTAAGTTGAGTTAACTATCGTCTGTAAAGTATATAAATTACGTACTGTATGTCTAATACAGTACTGTAATTTTATACATTTCTTGTGAAGAAAAAATTCTTATTTAACGGCCATAAAATTATTTCTATTAATCTGTATACGTGCCGGGCTGTGATTGGCTCATGTATTTAAAGATTCCTACAACGTGAAATTCTTATAAAGTGGAACGTATCTACCGCGTTATAGGGGGTCGACTGTATTTGAAGAAAGAGGTAAATTTTATAAAAAAAAATTATAGCTAATAACGAGTAAAATTTTTTTAAGTCCTCTCGTAATCGAGATTTGAACACAACGACCTCCCTTCATCTCTCCATCTTTTTGAACTTTAACTACCGAACTTTAACAGCATCACTCTTCGAATACATACACCTCCAAGCTAAATTTTCGGAATTTTCGACAAAAATCACAAAATTTATTGATTTTCAAAGAGGGTAAAGTAAATCGTTTCAACACACACACACAAACACACACATTCATATGCAAACATACAGAAAAAAAACTCCGAAAATTTTTGAATATGTAAACTTTTTATGATCCGAGTTCAAAAATATAAAAATTTTGGAAGTCGTTCCTTGAACGATATTCATACTCTTCATGTTATACATATAACAGAGCCGGGTAAGTAAAACCTAATGCTGATCCAAACATCTGTTTACATTTGTATTTGACCATAATAAATTATTTGATATTGAACTGTATTATAAATTTAATTAATTAATACTACAGTAGTCAATAATTTTGTTTTTATTGCAGAGAATAAAGTAGAATAAGTAAGATATTTAACTTTTTTAATTGTCATACATTGTATTATTTTAACAAATTTTATCGTACAGGGTATTGCAGAAACAAAAATGTCGTAATTTTTTGTATCTTAATTTCCATTTGCAAATCGGATATTTATTGACAGAACATATTGATCAAAACGTATAAAGTACTTTTAAAAAAGATAACATTAAATAATCTATATAAATTAACCTAGAACCGTCAGTATTGATGCTTGTTGCCTGATTACGAGTAATACTGAACATGTTTCCCCCTGGCAAACCCCTAAAACTCATCTCCCGTTCGGCAGATCGCCCAGTCGCGATGCCGTATTCCAATAAAACTGGAAACAATTCAGGAGAAGGATTAAAATACGTCATAAACAACAATATATAAATTAAATTGTAAAGGATTTCTGTTTGTCTTTTTGTCTTTCTGTTCTATATATGAATCAGCAGCTGCTGGTCAAGCGATTATCATTGTAGAATAATGTTATGCAGTATAATGTTCTGTTACAATTTAATCTAATATTAAATTGTAATTAGCAAAATATTGACAAAAAAATGAGAAACGTTGGTAAAGCAACCTATTGGTTGGAGTCGATCACGGGAAAATAATATATAGCCGGTCAACCTCTGATCAGTGTAGTTTTTGCGACATCATGATTGAACTAGACGCGTATAAAAAATTAAATTGCAATTATGTAGTATGTTGTGTTTTCTTTAGAAACTAACACGTCTAAAATTTATTTATTTAAACTTATTCATATAAGTTTTTAGGTTTTATGTTAGGCTTTCTTCAACCCTTAAAGTACTTTTAAAATAGTTAAAGTGATCAGACATCCTGACTAACGATTAAATTCGAATTTCACATATGTACTAAATTTTGAAGTTGTGCTTATTTAATTAAGAAAAAATACGAGTATTTCCCTTAGCAAACATTACATTTCCTTCGACAATAATTGGCTATGAGTGAAAGGAGGTTAGAGTTTTGAACCCTGTTTTTTCTCTATAACTATTCTAAGTCTCCTTTCCAAAATAATGTTATGCAGACAATATTATGGTTGACTTCCTTAGTCGTGTAAGTAATAACTTTATAATTAATTTTTTAAAACAATAATGCTTTTTTTTAAGTGTATACTTGGACATATTACATAACGTTCAATTAGGCCTACTAATAATAATAGCTCTTCTCTCAAATTTTTAGACTTCGTATGTTTTACTTTATTCATAATTCTATCTGATTATGTTACAGTATTAATATTTTATTTTAAAAAATTTATTTATAGGCAAGATTCCTACCCATAAATTTAATTTATTTTCACTTTAACTAATAATTTCAAACAGAATATTTATAATTATAAACAGAAAACACAAGTATTATTCTGTATATCACACGTCGTACTATTTAAACTTTGTCTATGGCAATATTTTATACCACACTCGCTGCATTCCATTTCATTTAACATATAATTGTGTTGAACAACGTTCACAGTACGATAAACAAATGATAAATGTGCTATTTTATTTTTCGAATCAGGCAAAGAGGAGGACGTTGCGTATGAAAAAATAACATTCATTTATAAATACAGTAATTAAAAAATATAACTTATTTTCAATCTAAAATAACAGATACTAGAACATGAATCCGGCGTTTCCCAGCAAAATATATTAACAAAGGTTAAGATTATTACATTATTTTGTACTTCTAATATTTCTATTATATTATATTATGGTATTTCATTTATATTTACAAAGGTTCGTCTCACCGAGTGACCAATCTAACATATTTAAAAAATTTTTTCATTGTGTACATTAAACGAATAAAGAACCTTTACACAAGGTAATTTTTGTATTTATATAAATCAAACATCATAATATAACAAACATTAAAACGAAAATCATATGAGTTTAGTTAGTTTAGCCAACCATTGTTACGTTTATCGCCATACTCGGACGGTACGAAATAGCACAGTCTCATTAGTCAAGTACACATCAATTGAAAATACATCTTAAAAACTTAAAGACATCGTATTTTTTCTACTGTTAACTATAAGAACTTGTACCATTCTCAGCCGAATATGAAATGGTAATCTGCCAACCAATGAAATTTTGCAAAAAACGGATCCTATACGTATATTTATTTTGCATTCCAGACTACAGGTATACCTGGACTTACGTCGTTTCGAGTTACGTCGTTCCCGATTATACGTCGTTTGTCAAAAAAGTATATGGAAAAATAAAAATCAAGTTTAAGTCATTTTATTCGACTTTACGTCTGTCCGCCACAAATATTGAAGTCGTAATATCACTAGAAAAATGTTTAAAGCACATAAAATCATATTAAAATATATACAAGTATGTACTGTATTTACAGTACACGCATTCGTAAATTTAGATTATTTTTTTTGTACTATATTAAAAACTAAAATTTATTTGTTTGTAAGCTTAAAATAGATTTTTATTAACCATATATTATTTAAAATGCTTTCCTAGTGATAAGTAGATTCGGAGACAGGTAAATTCGACTTACGTCGTTTT